AATAGAGCATTTTCAAAGAAAATTTTCAAAGAAATTTCCCATGAACAGCTTGGCTCTCCCAGGGAAGTAAGTTGGGGACACCTCCATGGAAGAGGTGCTTTGCTTACTTTGCCCAAGTGGATACAGTGCCCTCAGCATCCCTGTGGGAATCCCATGCCCCAATTTCCCAGGGGAAACTGAAGCTCGGTGAATGAGTAAACACCTTTCTGGAAATCATGCAGGCAGATGTGTGATCGAGCCTGGGTCCTGCTTAGAGGGTCGGCTCTCCAGGCAGAGTCTGGGTGTGCTTGGTCTGAGCACCTGGACTGAAGCCTGTGCCGGGGGCCTGGGCTTGCCTCCCCAGAATTGATCATCACGGCTGGCGGGGAGAATGTGCCCCCTGTGCCCATTGAGGAGGCCGTGAAGACAGAGCTACCCATCATCAGCAATGCCGTGCTGATCGGGGACCAGAGGAAGTTCCTGTCCATGCTGCTCACCTTGAAGGTGTGTCGGGGGTGGGGGTGGGGTGGGATCTGGCTCTGGAGGAGCAGCCAGTGGGTGGTCTGTGGGTCTGACCCCAGCAGTAGCCATGTTCAACCAGGACATGTCTGGATCTCCTGACTGTATTCTGGAATAACTAGTCAGTGCTGCCTGCCCTAAGGGGCAGCCGTAGCGTATGGAAATCCCTTCTGCCCCTGGTAATACAGTTAATAGTATGCTGCCCCGATGATCTTCTGTGTTCCAGTACAGTCCAGTTTACACAGCGCTGCTGCCCTCAGTCCCCTCAGCAGATAACCAATCTGGTATCTGATACCAGGGTACTGGATGGGGCCAGAATTATGGTCCCTGTTTTAAAAGATGATCTCACTGGCTGAGGTCATCTCAATCTCAGGCCTCCCTTCCTTCCACCCCACCACAGGGCTCAACGCAGTCCGAGTAGCATCCTACTCATTCTAGAACCGTCTCTTTGAAACAGAGCTCACGGTGATCCACGTCCTTGACGATCAGCAGTGTGACCTCCTCCAAGACCAGGGCACACATCTTGTGGAGTGAGGCTTGGTTTTGATCTATCTCTGGCTTTTCAGTGCACTCTGGATCCTGATACCTCTGACCCAACTGATAATCTGACCGAGCAAGCTGTGGAGTTCTGCCAGAGGGTGGGCAGCAAAGCTGCCACGGTATCGGAGGTCGTGGGGAAGAAGGATGAGGCCGTGTATCAGGCCATTGAAGAGGGGATCCAGAGAGTCAACATGAATGCAGCTGCCCGACCCTACCACATCCAGAAGTGGGCCGTTCTTGAGAGGGACTTCTCCATTTCGGGTGGAGAGTTGGGTAGGTGTTTTCCTTACACTATTGCAGGGGCTGTGCAGGAGGGCAGAGGCCATGGCAGAGCCTGGGAGGTGCCCACTAGGAAGCAGCCATGGCAAACAGAAGGTCCCTGACAGCACTTTGGATGACACCCACCTCCTTCCTGTGGGAGGACATTGATTGCTCAGTGCCTGGGCTTGTGGTTAGGTAGGGCCTGTTCAGTATATAAGATATGTGCTGGAATTCATTAATTTGAACCTATAACATTTAACTTTGTTTTGACTAAGGAACCATTTTCCCCTGAAATCACAATGGGACCACCAGGCAGACACCAAGTTCCTGTTAGTGTTTGGGCTGGAGTCATCTGGCTCTAGGGAGTGAGACCACCATAATCTTTTGTAAAGTCAGCTCATGCAACAGGTAAAGGGTGGAAGCCCTTCTGGGCCATGGTCCACAGAACCAGAAAAGGCCTCTGGTGTGGCCTCAGTTGGATGATGAAGTCGCTCTTGGTTACAGCATCTTGGGGTGTTCATGGCATGGCGGGGTGGGCATGCAAATGGCTCCTTCAATGAGATTCCCTCTGACCCATCAAGGCTGAACCCAGATGCAACTATCCACAGTAATGCTGAGCTGCTATCAGAGACCCTGAGCTTATCTGGGTGTCTTGTGCCAGCAAATTGAATGCAAGGTCAACCAGATAGGTGTCCTGTCTAAGCAGTTTATATAAATGGCTTTGATTTTGAAGTCTCCAGTTACACAGCCAAGTATGAGTTAGCAAGAAATGGAGTTGAAGCTACCCAAATCAGAGCCCTTTTGACCTTGCATTAGAGGAGAGAGCCAAGGCCAAGAAAAGTGATGCCAGAGGCCCTTCCTGGCCAGGGCTTTCCCCTACCCCATCACAAGCAATCAAAGCATTACATCCAACATCGTATGAACTTTCACTGAAATGCAGAGATGATTTGCCTATCAGTTGTTGTCATGTAAATTACCCCACTTCCTCTGTATTCTACCGGCCACTTAGACCAACCCTGGTACAGTGTGGGAAGGAGCCACACAACGGTGTGACCACGGAGCAGGGATCACCATGGGCCATCTTGGAGGATGGCTACTTGTTGGTCTGGCTTAATTCCAGAGTTCTGGGACTCACTGAGTCTAGATGTTTACCACACACCTTCTCAGACATCTCAGAGCCCAGCCCTCACTCATTTCTTCCAATTTCTCTTTTAGGTCCCACTATGAAGCTGAAACGGCTCACAGTCCTAGAGAAGTACAAAGATATCATCGACTCCTTTTACCAAGAGCAAAAAAAGTAATCAGGGGTCGTCCTTCCCGGGTTTCTCCTGAAGGTGGCAGGCTGAGTATTTTCCTGACACCCCCCCCCCCCCCCCCCAGGTCCTCTTCAGTCTGGGCACATGCACTTCTGGCAAGTCTGTTAGGTTCTCTGGGTCAGGTACGGTCCTGGCATCTACATTTGCCAGGTCTTATGCCGAGAGGCTTCATGTGTGGATAGTTTTAAAAGTATTGCTTTTTGTTTGGGTGACAAGTGAGATCAACTCTCTTTCCAGAACTGAAGGGCTGACTTTTTGGCCTTACTCCCAGGTAGATTTAACAGGCTGCTAGCTCACTTAACAGGAGGCTGGGTGTTGGGGGAGGGAGGAGGGGGAAGATGGCTCGGCTAACCAGTGTGCCGCAGGGAAAGCGCTCAGTTGTAACGCACCTAACACCCGACTTACTCTGGAATCTTGTTGGACATTGCCGACCCCATCATCCCATTACCAGGCACTCCACCATACACACACCCACTGACTTTGATGCTTAATAAAACTGCTGCTGCCTATTTGGTTGTATTTAATGTGTAATTTGAAATTAAACTTTTTAACAGAACTGTCAACAAGTACCTGATTTTTTTGTCAATAGAGCAGCAGATCAGTCCAGAGTAGTGGTTATTTAACCCACAGGACACTGAGCAATAGGTATTACCAATGACCTCCAGTGCCCCGGAATAAGCAAAGGTGTGGGAGGAGGTCAAGTGGAGCATTCTAGGGAAAGCAGTCAATTAGGGGCTAGTCTGTCGCCACCCTGCCACCCTGCCCACTCTGCTGTTTTGTTTGTTTGGGCTGAGCCATACAGCTTGTGGAATCTTAGTTCCCCAACCAGAGATCGAACCCGTGTCCCCTCACCCTGCCTACTCTGAATACTTGAAGCAGCCATTCTTAGTAGCAAACTGAGCCAAAATGACCTAAGGCATCTAAATGGGGAATCGGTAGAGAAAGCATACACCTCAATTCGTTTGGGAATTCTTTATTAGTGTAAACCCAAGGATCACTGATAATTAGCACAATTCAATAAAACAGAAGCAGCAGTTTAAACAAAGTGAAATACATACAAGGTTGTGAGTCTGGTTACCAGCCTAAAAAAGGACCCAGACAGGGGTATTTGTTGTTAAGAAATCCCCTTGTGGGTTCCCCTGGTGGCGCAGTGGTTGAAAGTCCGCCTGCCGATGCAGGGGACATGGGTTTGTGCCCCGGTCCGGGAAGATCCCACATGCCGTGGAGCGGCTGGGCCTGTGAGCCATGGCCGCTGAGCCTGCACGTCCGGAGCCTGTGCTCCGCAACAGGAGAGGCCACAACAGTGAGAGGCCCGCGTATCGCAAAAACAAAAAAAAACAAAAAAGAAATCCCCTTGTGACCAGGGTACAGAATGCAAAGCCACAGGTTTGCAATGTTACACACGGGCCAAGGAGGACATGAGCTGCCGTTGGTGTGGGACCAAAGGGTTCATGAAAATAGTGTCTGAAGATTAAAGAAAAATCATGCTAAGGATGGGGAATGGAGGAGGGATGGGGAAGTGCCTGAAGGTCAAAAGCTAAGGCAAGCCCCAGGATGGCACGATTTGGTGACTCATCTCAGGCTGAGTCTGCAACTGGTGGTGCTGAGGCACAGGGTGGTAATTTGGTGTTTTGGGGAAGGGGTAGCCACTGAAATATAAAGTTAGTAGCCAGCACCCCAGGGTCCTCAACTGCAGTCAACTTTTAGATGGTCAGGCCTTCTAGCAGTATCAGTGGGAGTGTGGTCCACTTCCAGACAGAGACAGACATGCTGGGGAAGAGTGACCGCACACAATGGTCGGCTCCCATGTCTGACTCAGGGTCTGCACAGGGGATCAAGGGCTGCGTTACACACGATGCTTGATGTATGTCCAATGAAAAGGAAGGATCACTCCTTCATTAAAAGCTCTCGCCAGGAATAGTCAATCATCTTAAGATAAAAATAACTGAACACACAATGCATTTGTGTCTTTGTACCTGATATATTACCCATATCTTATTAACAAAAACTACATCTCTCATTATATATTTCTCGGATCTGAAGTCTTTATTCATACTCAGTAATTCATTTAAAGCACAAATCAGTCTTTACTTTCCATATCACTAAGAAATATACCATATTCACTGTTTTTGATGTAAACTTTCCCAGGAAATTTCTCTTGTGCCCATTTAGTTTTATAAGAATATCATCTTGTGCTAATATGTCAACATTCTATTTTATTTTCATTATATTTTTCATAAACCAAGGAAATCATTGTTTTTCTTGAAAAAGTTATATGTTTTCTCGTATTAATTCTGTATCAGGATATTTACAGTTAAAGAAAAACTGTTGTAACTGAAGCGTAAAATGGTTAACAATGGCAAATGATACAGTACAGTCCACTTAGAGTTTTCAAAAAATGTGTACCAGATAGACATTTAATAAATAAAACAAGCACTTGGATAAAGTCCTTTGAAAGCAGGCCCAGGGACATCACCTGCATCCTCTGCACAGACTTTGTTAAGAAAAGGCCAGGTCTAAAAATGTACTCTGTCAAGAAACAAGCAACAAATGCATAAATGTATACATAATGGCAGGTATTCTAATACAGGCTGACATGGAGTCCGTTAGGAGTGACTGAGGCAAAAGCATTTGTAGAAGCCTTAATCTAAATCTTTTACTCGGCGACAGATTTCTTCTGTGAAGTCTGAGCATTTTGCATTGCCTCCCAAATCTTTTGTTAAGCTCTGAGAAAAGGAAAAAGCAAAGATAAAAAATGTATCCACACATTAAACCAAAGCAAGGATGTTTTTATTTAAAGCTCTCAGTGAGATACCAGATGAGTGAGTTACCTGACTACTCTTTCATTTAGTTCCTCATTTCAAAGTGAGACCCACTCCACCGCCATCCACCTACCCAAGGACTTAGAAAAGCTAATTCGATAGTGTACACAGAAACACTCTGGAAGAACAAGATGCTCTCACTACAAAGGGAAGCAGGGAGGCTTTCCAAAAATTTTCCCTTTGTCCATACAATAGACCCTAAGGAAGCATTTGATTACGGACACTTAAATGACAGCAAATCTGAAACAAGAGGTTGCATAAATTCCTTGAGGATTTTTTAATTTTTTTTTTTAAAGACATATTTTGACCTATTTTTGGAGGCTAAGAAACAAATACTAAGGAAATATTTAAATCACTTAACTCTTAAATTCCCCTCTTTAAGAAAGAAATCCTCCCATATTCTCTGTTCTCTACCAGCTTATACTCTCTTTACTCCCAACTCAATATATTTAATTCTCTTGTCCCATCGCATCCTAAACAATTTAAAGGGCCTACTGTGTAATTTAGGCATCTCTCTGCTGGACTCTATGAGTAGCTTCTCAAATACAGCGTCAGAATAAAAAACATATATAATCACATGCCCTTCAATATGACTATATCAGGCTGTTAAAAACAAACTTGGGTTTCTTATATTTTGGCCGTAAGAATTTCAAATTATAGAATTTTTTAAAAAGAAGAAGCAAACCTTGAAGATATTATGCTAAGTGAAATAAGCCGGTCACAATGTTACAAACAGTGTATGATTCCACTTACATGAGGCACCTAGAGTAGTCAAATTCACAGAGACGGAAAGTAGATGGTGGTTGCCAGGGGCTGGGGGAATGGCAGAAACTAGGTAAATTACTGTTTAATTGGGACAGTTTCAGTTTAAGAAAATGAAGAAGTCTGGAGATGGATGGTGGTGAAGGTCGCACAATATGAAAAGTATTAATATTTAATACCAATAGACTGTGTGCCTCAAAAATTATTAAGATGGTCTATTTTATACTATGTATATTTTATCCTTTTTTAAAATGTTAGTTTTTTAAAAAAAGGAAGAGACCTCGGACTAGGGATCAGCCTTTCAGGCCCAGCCTTGTAAAGCCATGACCTCCTCTGTTCTCCTCCCACTTTCAGAATAATTGATCACAACCCTCCTATGAGTCACAACTGCTTATGGGAACAGTGAAGCTTGTTGGGTAAGAGCCAGACTGGGTGTGAACCCCAACTTGGCCAGTTAGGAGCTGTGAGACCTTGGACAAACTTACTCAATCTCTCTGTGCCTCGGTTTCCTCATCTAAAAAATGGGCTTAATTACAGTATCTATGTCACATAGGAGTAGAGATTTGCTGAGATATATATAATGAATATAAAATCACGAAAGTATTCAGTTAATATCAGCCATTATTACTTATATAAAACTTCTACATTACTTTTATATCACAGATGCACATAGTATAACGTATAGCTCCACGGTATTACAGACACATCTGCATCTGTACCACTGCTAGATTCCAAGCTCCTTGAGGCCTGAGACCACCCCTTATTCCTCATTTTATTATATTCTCCGTACCTTATCACGGACGCAATAGATGTTTGCTGGGAAGAGGAGGAAGCTGCCAAGAAAAATTAATGGACTCGGCCAAGATCCCACAGGTAACAACAGGGTAACTGGGCCTGCACTGCTCTGACGCCCACACCACTGCTCTTTCCACTGCACCCTGGTGCCCCTACCACAGTGCTTCTCAGCCCTTCCCTGATGAAATACGTTAATCCTCTCTTCAGAAAATGCACACAAGTGTGCAGACTGCCCGAGTTCACTCAGGGAGCCCACATTAAGAATGCCTGTTCGACATCCAATCCTTTGGCCCTCTTGAGAAGAACCATCGTCGGTCCTTCACGCACATAAAACCCAAGGAGGGGGTTTCCCTGGTGGCGCAGTGGTTGGGAGTCCGCCTGCCGATGCAGGGGACACGGGTTCGTGCCCCGGTCCGGGAAGATCCCACATGCCGTGGAGCGGCTGGGCCCGTGAGCCATGGCCGCTGAGCCTGCGCGTCCGGAGCCTGCGCTCCGCAACGGGAGAGGCCACAACAGTGAGAGGCCTGCATACCACAAAAAAAAAAAAAAAAAAAAAAAAAAACCCAAAGAGGAAATGCATTTTACCCAGCAGAAGTGTGGCAAGATTACCAATACCTTCCCATCCTTAATTGTAGCAAAACATGCTGTCTCAATCTTTGCAGCGTGGTCAAAAAGCCCCATGTGGCGCAGCATCATCACGGCACTGAGCAGGAGGGCCGTGGGGTTGGCCATGTCCTTGCCTGCGATGTCTGGGGCGGTCCCGTGAACCTGCCCGGGTAGGGGGGGGAAAGAGTGCAGTCAGGAGGGAGACAGGAGCAAACAGCCCTCTTCCAGGGAAGCTGGGCTCTTAATCAGCTTTCCTCACTGATGAAAAATAGCTGCTCAGATATATGTCTTAGAAATAAAACCTCAGAAAAATAAAGAGCTAAAGAAATTCTTTTTTAAGTGCAAAAATATGGACTAACAATCTTATCCAGTCCAACTTTCAGTAAAATATTTTAACTGAGGAAGGATACATAATAAATAATAAGGATGAAAAAGAAATAAGAGGAAAACGAATGAATAAACCAAGTTTCATTTTCTTCTGACAATTGGAAAAACTCAAGAGTTAAAATATATTTATGCAGATAAGCCCTCCTGGGTTCTCATGTCATTCTGACTTGAATTCTGCTTCAGGTGTCACCAGGGTCCTTACCGACTCGAAGATTGCAACTCCATTGGCTCCAATGTTGCCACTTGGTGTCACACCAAGACCTCCAATCAGTCCTGCACACAGGTCACTGGGGGCAGAAAAGCATTTCAAAGGATATTTTGAAAAATAAAATGTCTCACCTAGCACCCAGACTTGCATCTTTAAATACCATTCTCCACTAAAAGGAACCTGGGCTACTTAGAGAAATGACTGATTCCAGGACTGCAGTTAGGAAAATATAGGATGAGCCTGAAGCACCTTATTGTGCCAGAAAGCAAATGATGGGCTGTGTCAAAAGGACACAGAGACAGTTCAAAGGGACTCCCACTGGCCAAGTCTGCACAACATATGCATCAATATAAAAGATGATAGTGATGGATATAACCACTAAATAAAATAGAAACCAGGAGTGCAAACTGATATAGGCAAATAAGTAAACAAATAAATAAGAGAGAAGGAAAAGCTTATCCTTACAGTAGAATGCCAACTGATACATGTAGAAGGAATGATGGACTTACAAAAGCACCATTTGACCACCATCACGTGTATGTGTGTAGAGACAAAGAGAGAAAAAAGAAGGAGGAGGAGGATGAAGGGAGGGAAAAGGAGAGAAGGGGAGAGAGAGAGAGAGAGAGAGAGGGAGTAATAAAGTAAGTCTGGTAAAATGTTAACATTTGGTGAATGTGGGTGCTGAGTACACAGGAATTCTTTGTACCATTCTTGCAACTTTTCTGTAAGTCTGAAATTATGCCAAAAGTTACAAAAAATTAATAAAAATGAACACCCACCTACCTAGCTATACATGATGAAACACTGAAATCAATCAATCAACCAATCAATAAAATATCTGTAAAATGGGAAGCGGGAACTAATGGTCAGGGAGCAAGAGCCCAGAGCTGATTTGGCAAATGAATGAATAACCCATCCAGCATATCACCATTGATATCACCACCTGAATTGTCAGAATTCAACTCGCAGCTTGTAACAAATGCTGTATTTTATAATATTTGATTAAAATTTGTAAGCCACAATTTATTTTATGACATTTATAAATAAACTGTAGGCTAAAAGGTATAGCCAGACTCACCTAAGGATGTCTCCATACAAATTTGGCATAACAAGGACATCAAACTGGGACGGATCCTGGACCATCTACAAAAAATGCATTTGTGTGTTTAGCAAACAAAAACTGTGCACCACACGGACACACTATACACCACAAAAAGTGGCAGGTAAGTGTGAATATATACTTACATTCAAACATACTGTATCAAGGTACATCTCATTAAATTTAATATCTTTACAGTTTTCTGCAACTTCCCTGCATTTTTTCAGAAAAAGCCCATCTGACATTCGCCTGTATTTAATCAAATAAAAATTGTTGAAAGCAAAGACTTGCAGAGAGAAAAAGATCAAATCAGAGAAGTAATGTAAGTTCAAGAAATTTAAGTTGCAGATATCTGATTTCAATTACAGTAAAATTATTTTTTTTGGCAATCAGTAAAATGCAAATTTCAATGTTTTAGGATACTTCTGGAAGCACAAAAGGGTAAAAAATGTAATATAGTTTGATCATAATAAAGAAGACTATATTTTTATAGTGTTATCCAGCAATATCTATTAATAAGAAAACATTAAAATTGCCTTAAAAGGTTAACTTATTCAATTATTTAAATGGTTTTACTATTTTACATGCTCAACACTTTCCTTAGGTTAGGAAACCTGCTTCCTAATACACTGAGTTGGGCTTTAATACACTAGGGCTGAGAAGAATTCAAACTGCTAGAGTAATACATCAGACAGTATTAGCACTATGAGAAATATTTTAAGCCCCTGAGCGGGGGGCCATCTCAGAAACATTCCTGCTCTTCCCTCCTAACACAGAAACGATTGCCCTTTTGCAGACGTGGCCTTAGCTAACTGCCCACCGCACCTAGGGATCCAGACTCTCCGGCTTCCTTCCCCGATGGTTCTCAGGCCCTCCTTAAACTTCCGGGACCTGAATTCTTGCTCCCTCCAAACCTGCTCCAGTCATCCACCCAATGAAGCACATTAAATAGGATATTCTGACACAAGAGAAACCCTCTGACTGGCTACAAGGCCATTTTCCAGAGCTATCAGGTCAATGAGCAAGCTGGAGAGAGGAAAGGAAAGCCCTGTCACTGCTCCTCGCCCACAAAGCCAGACGGAGCGCCACCCACAGGGACTCACATGATGTTGGCTTTGTGCACGGCCGTCACGTTGCTCCGGAGGTTGTTCCGCGCATACTCAAAGGCGAACTCCGCGATGCGCTTGCTCGCCCCCTCAGTAATGAGCTTGATACTCTGCACAACTCCATCCACAATCTGAAACAGAGGAAGTCCTGCCTCGCTGAAAGGGCATGGCAACAACCCGGTCCTGGACTGCTGGCAGTGTGCAGACAACACCATCTGTGGCAGGCTTGCGTGGCACCAGCTGCCAAGGCAAGCATCATGCATATGGTATGTCAGTGAGGTTAATCATGTTCACTCCAGTCCTAGGAGCCAGGTATTATAAGCCTCACGGCACAGATGAGGAAAACCAAGGTGCAGAGGTGGTTACGTATGAAGTTGAGGATTCAAAATTCAAACAGGACAAGTTCCCAAGCCCATACCCTGAAGCACCACAACCCCTCGCCCAGGCATCCATTTGAGTACTGTCAGCCAGAGACCAGGACAAGACAAACACCCACAACTCCTCACAGAATGCAAGAGAACTGTCTTTGGGAAATATTTTCAACTGGGAATTTGAACAAAGGTCCCAAGTGCACAGAAAGCAACCCAACTAAGAATGAAAAAGTATCCAAATGAACATACCACATGCTCAATTCCACTGTATTCTCCTTCCGTGTTCTCTCGAATGGTGACAATATTTACGTCACTGTAAGGGGTTTTATAGCCTTCGATTGAGACACATGGTCGGACATTTGCATAAAGGTCAAATGTTTTACGCAGCAATAAATTCATGGATGGGTGACCCGCGGCTATGGGGGTTTTTAAAGGGCCTGTAATAAAGAAGAATACCCAGATGACAAGAGGATACAGTCTGGTCTTTTCTTTTCCTTTATAAACACAAGTACATAGTGTTGACACCTGTCCCTCGGCATGGGGGTTTGGGGGGAGGGATTGATCCAGGACCCAGCAACCCAGCAGATACCAAAATCCATGGATGTTCAAGCCCCTTATTATAAAATGACATAGTATTTGCATATAACCTACACACATCCTCCGGTAAACTAAATCATCTCTAGACTACTTATGATACCTAATATAATATAAACACTATGTAAATAGTTGCCAGTGAAAAAATTCAAGTTTTGCTTTTTGGAACTTTGTGGATTTTTTTTTTTTTTTTTTTTTGCTGGTAACACCAGTTTTATTCGTTGGGGTGTCAACTATAGCCTGGCTGGGGGCAGGGCCAGCCCTCACAGGTGGTTGAGCTCCAGCAGGGTCTGGTCGAGGGCCTGGTGAATCTCCACGTTCTCCTCCTTGGTGCTGGCCAAGGTCTCTTCCAGGTCATCAATGGTTTTCTCCAACTTTGCCACCGACCTTTTGGCAAACTCTGCTCGGGTCTCAGCCTCCTTTAGCTTCTCCTCCAGCAGTTTGATCTCCTCTTCATATATATTTATCTTCTTTGGTGGAATACTCCTCCTCTGAGGCCATCAGGGACCTGAGGGCCTGGTCCCTGGTCCGAAGATCCTCCTCCCAGCTCTCCGCCACCTCAGCGGTCTCTTCTGAGTGCTCCAGCTCTCCTTCCAGGATCACTAGCTTCCTGGCCACCTCCTCATATTTGCGGTCTGAATCCTCAGCGATGTGCTTGGCCTCCTTCAGCTGCATCTCCGTCTTTTCCTCATCCTTCATAGCTCGGCTTTCCATGACCTTCATTTCTCTCTCACTCTCATCAGCTGCCTCGTCAGCCTCCTCCGGCTCTTGCAGGGCTGTAGCCAGGCGCTCCTGCGCCTGGTCCACCTCCTCCTCTACCAGCTGAATGCAGCGGTTCAGGGAGGCCACATCTGCCCTGGCATTGGTGGCTCTCTTCTCAGCCTGCTCCAGTTTCTCCTGGGCATCCTTCACTGATTCAGAATACTTTTCCACCTCGTCCTCCGTCCCTTTCAGCTTCTTCTGGAGGGCCTGCTGCACCTCCTCCAGCTGCTTGCTGCGGTCCTCAGCTCAGCGCAGTCGATGGCATTCTCCTTGTCCAGCTTTAGCATCTGCAACTTCTTGATGGCATCCATGGTTGTGGTGGGAGATCAGCTGGCCGGTGGGCAGTGCAGACCGGGCTAACTGGGCTGGCTGCACGGACTGGTGGCACCGGTGGCAGGCAAGGAGGACCAACCGGGACTGGGATGTCCCAGCCCAGAATTTTTTTTTTTAATATTTTCCATACATGATTGCAAATCCACGGATGCACATGTGGGTATGGAGGGCCAACTGTATTTGAAATTCCAATTTTTATTTTTTCCAGTATTCCATCAGAGATGTATTTAGGATCCTTTGTTTGGACGTGAAGTAGCTTTGTGACACATCTAACGTGCATGCTTCATGAATCAAGGGACACTTTTACAACAAAGTAAGCGTCATTTTTTTTTTTTTTTTTGCGGTACGCGGGCCTCTCACTGCCGTGGCCTCTCGCGTTGCAGAGCACAGGCTCCGGACGCATAGGCCCAGCGGCCACGGCTCACGGGCCCAGCCGCCCCACAGCACACGGGATCCTCCCAGACTGGGTCACGAACCCGCGTCCCCCGCATCGGCAGGCGCACCCTTAACCACTGCGCCACCAGGGAAGCCTCTACAAGCATCATTTAAAAGGGCAGACAGGTGCTCTGTTTCTGAGTCAGATGTTCTCTTCATCGTAAATGAGTCCATCTACAGCTGGTCACTCTCAGGCAACATTCAGTGCCTACTCCCTGTGTCATCTACAGACCCACCTGGGCTACCTTGTAAAATATGTTCTGCCTCTAACTTTACCCTCTCCCTCAGATTCAGATGAAAGAAGAAATTTCCTCAATGAAGCTTTCTGGAATATCAACTGCATTGAGCATCTACTGACTGAGGACCAAGCACGGTATCAGGTCCTTGACATTAGCTAATCCTATGACACCACCTCCCTATGAGGTATCAACTCTATTGCTGTCATTTTTTTTTTTTTTTTTTTGGCTGCACTGTGCCAGTCTTCGGGATCTTAGTTCCCTGATCAGGGATCAAGTCCGGGCCCTAGGCAGTGAAAGCACTGAGTCCTAACCACTGGACTGCCAGGGAATTCCCTATTGCTGTCATTTAAAGGTAAAGGGGAAAAAAAGAGTAAGAAATTTGCCCAAGCCTCCCAGCCAGTAAGCAGCAGGGATGAGATTCACAGTGGATCTGTCTGGATTTAAAGCCTATGCTGAATTCCAATCTGTCACATGCTAATATTTTGAATCATGACCTTGAGCATGTGTGAATTAAAATAAAAATGTAAAAATTATACAAAAGATAAATCTAGGTAAAGATAAATATAACACCTGGAGCAGAAATCAATAATAAGCATCATATTCACTTCAGTGCTACCTTTCAAGCCCATCTTGTTCTTATCCATGGACTCTTTGGCTTCTGGAGGGATCATCCACTTTCCTCCCGGTCCTTGAATGGCGGTGACATTCCGCTCCTCCCACTGAATAGGTGCCTAGATGCCACACCACAGAGCACAGTGAACTGGAAAGGCCTACATGTGACTGACATTCACACTACATTTATAAACAAACTTCCTCACTTTGGATGCAGCTGGTGAAAACACATACAGTAAAGGCCCGGAAAGTTCCTGGCATGCAAGAAGAGATGTCATTCCCTAGCATGTCCAGATGGATTCTCCACATTACCCTTGTCCAGTCATCACTCCTAGCTGCCACTTGCCTACTTCTTTTTTTCACAATCACTGTTAACGTGGCTATAATTATAATATCATAAGGAGCAGAGAAACATGATTCACAGAAATATCACATAGTACTGATACATGGATGAATCTTGAAAGTATTATGCTAAGAGCCATTCACAAAAACCATGTAATTTTTTTTGAAGTTTTGAATTTTATTTACTTTTTTATACAGCAGTTTCTTATTAGTTATCTATTTTATACATATTAGTATATATATGTCAATCCCAATCTCCCAATTCATCACACAAAAACCATGTAATTTTAAGACTCTATTTATATGAAATGTCCAGAATTGGCAAATCTACAGAGAGAGAAAGTAGATTAGTGGTCGCCTAGGGCTGGTGATGGGAGGGGGCAGGGTGGGAGAGATAAGGGTGATGGGGAGTGACTGCTGATGAATATGGGGTTTCTTTCTGGGTGACAAAATGCTCTAAAATTAGACTATGGTGATGGTTGCACAACTCCATGAATGAACTGTATACTTTACATGATGAATTGAACGATACATGAATTAAATCTCAATAAAGCTGTTAAGAAAAAAAAAGACATATTATATAACCTATGAAAGAAGTTTTAAGGAATAAACCAGCGTTATCCTTTCTCTTCACCCACACCCTTCAGTGTGTATACACACATCTGACAGCCAACTGGGCACGCACTAGGAATAGGAACACAGAGCAAGACTTGCGCTCCTTGTTCACACGGAGCTTACAGCTGAGAGCCATCCTACTTCAGTTCCCTTAGGGAATGCTATTGTATAAGCATCATTTCCTCTGTAGGAGTTTTAATTAAAAACTCATATAGAAAAACAATGTATGTTTAGTATAAATAAATTGAATTCCTTGACTTATAGCTGTTGGTATCATAACAACCCTGATTTAATCTTACACATTATTTCGCCTAGCAGCTATAAATAGCAAGAATAAAGCATCAGGTCAAACAAAGTCCAAGTTTCCTAAATTCTCTAGATTTTTAAATATCTACCTGCATTGAAGGCTAGGCTGTTGGATAATAATACCTCATACTTGATATTTCCACACCAGGGGAAAAAAAAAAAGAATCTTTCAAAATGCCCTATATAGTTTTCTGAAGTATCAATTCTATTCTCTTTTTTATGGCAGGAAGGAAAAATGAGATAGACAGGTGACTTGGAGGGGCTTAAAGACTTTAAACCCAGGCAGTGTTCAAAAGTCCACAAAAATTACAGTACTACTTGGATTACTTTATATATAACTGATGCCAGTGCAGTAGCTTAAACTATTGACAATGACGGCAGCAAACAACACTCTTAAAGTCAGAATCTGTGAAATTTAACAGACCTCACCAAGTTCATACAAACGTGAACAATTCATCCTAAGAGTTCACTGTCTCCAACTGGCTAAGAAAACTTTTCTACAAATTATTATCAAAAGTATTTTTTAAGCCCACTTACTTTGGCAGCATCAAAAATCTTCATAACTGCGGCTGAAATTTCTGGGCCAATTCCATCTCCTGGAATTAAAGTTACCGTCTTAACCTGAATATAAGAAATCATCAAAGAAGACAGTCAGAATTGATTTTTGAAGGTTTAAAAAGGAACATCATTGACAAAGAAATCCAGTTTATGGGTTTTCTTAACTCATAAGAAATGCCTTTAAGAAAACAGACCTACCTTCCAACGGCTTAACAAAGTGGAGTCAAGAATCAAGAGACTCCACAACTCTACTCCCTATAGCTGAGCCCAGAGGTTTTAAAAAGAACTTAAGTGATGCTCTCCAGATAAAACAAAAATAAACTACCTGGTAAACTTCCCAATTGATGTTTCGTTTCAGACAAACTACAAGGAGACCAATTAATTCAAGTCTGTAAAACCAAGGAGAGCAAAACATTTCAACAATGTTCTCTCAGTAAAATTTAGAGGGCTTCCCAGGAAGGCAAGGGCTTTCCTCTCCACCGGGAGCCTAGAAAGTTCGGTTTCTCATGCAACTTGTGCAGTCTTACGAAACACTCCCAGACACTTCCAGAGTACCACTGAGGCCTGTTTTGGCACTCGGAAAATCAGACTTCACATCAAGAGAGGGTCTCCATTTTCCTGATTTCCTTTATAAAGTTGGCTCCTAATGACAAAAGTAATCCAAATGAGCTCAGCAAAGTTTACTTGGAACCAACAAGAATAGGGTATGTGATCATACCTGCAATGTCTGAATTACACTTAGAATGACAAGTGTATTTGTAATGTAACAGCAACGATTTAGTTCAAAGGCTTCAAACAAAATACAGCCAGCATTTCAAACACAGAAAAAAAATGTGTAAAGGGAAATGATGAGAGGATTTAAATGAGGATTACCATTTGGAAACTATATATGTCATTATTTGGGTATTTCCCCTACCTAGAAGTTAGGTTCAGACAACAGTCCCTGGCCTTTTTCAGTGCCAGCTGCCTGTGCTACATTTTTAAAAAATCACTGATTTACATTTCCCTGGTCTTTTACCTTCCAGTGATGCTCCCAAAGCAGGTGGACTAATTATTTCTGAATTTTTCTGTACAACTGAAGAAATCTTTTTTAAAAATTAGTTTCTTTTATTTCTTTCAAATATAACCCCCTCCCCACCAGGCCAATATATATTTTTTAATGGACAGCCTGGAAATTAAATAACAGCAGAGAGCAATGATCATCTCATCAGCTTTCAGAATGCATTTGAAATGCTAGCTAGCTAAATGCTAGCTTAGCTAAAGCGCAAGCCTCATTCTGCATCTTTTGCAGCAAAAGCAGAGCCGAAAGAACCCCTTTGGCTTCTTCCTGTTCTCCCAACATGTAATAACAAACGTCATCAGGCCACCAGAAAAAACTATTTTACTTCCACAGTTCAGAAAGTAAATGAAAAAAGATATACTATGGTCTTATAAATCCCTCACAGGGTAAGATGTTATACGGGAGTATAGGAATTATGAAATCCAAATCAGATTCTGTAAGAAGGAGGCAAAATAAAAACATACAGGAAGTCACTGACCCACAGTCTTAGAATGCTCTAAAAATGTGGTATCAGCTTTTAAAGCACAGAACTCTAATGCTGGGAATTCTAAAAGCAGCAGATGTAATGAGAAATAGATGATCCGCTAACACGAGAGCCTATGAAGACTACGTAAGCAAAGTATCGATGCATCTAAGCCTACAGGGCTTATAGATGTTTGAGGCATTCCTGATTGGCGATCAATCTACTGTTTTCAGGGAAGCTCACAAAATAAAAATGCAAAGCAGGTTTTGAAGCTTCTCAACAATTTTGTCTCAACCTGTACTAGTTTGGAAAAAAACTGTCTTATCCAAATGAGGTTGTGAAATAAAGTAACAGGCTCAAGGGTAGTTGCTCTCTTTAGATAATATCTGTTTTTTTATAATCTATTTTATAACTATTTTTAACAAGCCTCCTTCAAGATATTAATGTGATAGGCTTACAGCACCAGCTATAATACAATTTTTTTTAATGTGCAAGTGACCTAATAGATTTATGCATGTTCACCAATAATTTAAATATACAACATAAGTATGGCCAATTTTCCCTAATTTTAAATAAGTGAAGATTAAATGCTACATAACGTGTCTAAGCATCTTTCTTGAGAAACTTCTAAAAGGAAAAAATAAAAGACGTAATTATACTCACACCACCAGCAAAACCTCTGGTCACCTGTTTTTGGTTGTGGAATGCCCCCAGCAGCCGAGAGACCTACATTTAATATCAACAAAGAAATGTTACATACAGAATTAAACCACATATAGTTAAAAGGTAGAGATGGAACCATCTCTGCAGCTGATAATGCTGCAACTTTGCACAGATATATTCAGGAATTTCCGAGGATTATTTTTCTCATGTATTAGCTCAATGTAGCAAGCTCTTTTGGATTTGAAAACTGAAATATTCAGTTTACCTTTACTTTGAGAATGTAAGTACGATATATGTACTTTTAAAGTCAATTTTATGAAAAGTTGTCAAAAGACATTGAAGCTAGAATGAAACTCTACTTTCTTAGCTCAAACACTGGATTTTTCTCAGATGATCTGGATGGTTTAATGTCAACATTCTTGACCACTGGGTCAATTTGGGGGTAACACACACTCTAAGAGAACTATCACTAATTTTAAGAGCCAGCAGGGTCCTTATAAATCCCAGAGCCCAACTCACTCATTATACAGTGGAGACTGTGGGTCCAAAGAGTAGGGATTTGCCTAAGGTCACAGAGTGACCACAAAGAGACCACAATCTGGGTCTCCTGACTCTTAGTTCAGGGCTCCTCCAATTATACATTATGCCTGTTCTTCTCCCATGAATATTAAGAAATTACACGGTATAATAAAAATCTAACAAAATTTATTTAATACTATTTTGACACCTGTGTCATACAGAGTGAAGATTTTAAATAAATTATCTACTTCTTCTGATAATATAAGTGACATGGTCATTATTGTTAATTGCTGGGAGAGGGGAGAGATACAGAAAAATAAAAGGAATGTGACCTACTAATCCCACTACCCCAAGACGTTACCACCGGTACATTTTTTTTCCGCTTAACACTATGACACACCAGAAATATAAATTTTGAAAGGTTATTTTGAACTTTAATAATTCAGTCCTTGAAAACTGGTACAAAGTCATATTACATTATAATAAACAGAATATAATCAAAGAAATTGGGTACAAAAACCAAAGGTATTAAAATTCATTAAAAGTTTTAGTGACTTTCCTGGTGGTGCAGTAGATAAGAATCCACCTGCCAATGCAGGGGACACAGATCCGATCCTTGGTCCAGAAAGATCCCACAGGCTGCGGAGCAACTAAGCACATGTACCACAACTACTGAGCCTGCACTCTAGCCTGCGTGCCACAACTACTGAAGCCCGCACACCTAGAGAGAAGCCCACCGTAATGAGAAGCCCGCGCACTGCAACAAGCCCCACTCGCCGCAACTAGAGAAAGCCCGCACGCAGCAATGAAGACCCAACACAACCAAAAATAAATAAAATTATTTAATAAATAAATAATAGTTCATTAAAAATTCTAAATGTTAACTTTTTTTCATGCTAGATACATGAGCAAAGATACATTTGTTATATCCTTAGTCTTCCTTTTGGGGGACAGTTCTTGTAAGTCCTGAACCTTTGCTGTAATATCAGCACCCACTAAAGAGACACCAACCAAGAGCCAAGGAGCTGTGAACGAATTGTATCCTCTAACCTGGCATCTACAGTCATCTCTCTGGACTGACAATAAAAGACAGTGTGAGATCCAAAAGAATATGCTATGCCAAAACCACTGGCCAAACACTTAATCCTAGGACATGATTCATCCACCAGCAAATGGGCTATTGGAAGGGAGACCATTTAAAGGCTATGTTATAAAATTTGCATGAGTCCTTCTCCCCACTCCCCAGAAAGAAAGAAAAAACATTCACTCAAAACAGGCCCATGGGCTTCCCTGGTGGCGCAGTGATTGAGAGTCCGCCTGCCGATGCAGGGGACACGGGTTCGTGACCCGGTCCGGGAAGATCCCACATGCCGCAGAGATGCTGGGCTCGTGAGCCATGGCCGCTGGGCCTGCGCGTCCGGAGCCTGTGCTCCGCAACGGGAGAGGCCACAACAGTGAGAGGCCCACGTACCGCAAAAAAAAAAAAACAAAAGAAAAACACAGGCCCATGTCAGGACTTCCCTGGTGGTCCAGTGAGTAACACTCCACGCTCCCAATGCAAGGGGCCTGGGTTTGATCCCTGGTCAGGAACTAGATAACGCATGCATGCCACAACTAAGAGTCTGCATGCCACAACTAAGAAGTCCACGTGCCTGAACGAAGATCTCGTGTGCTGCAACTAAGACCTGGTGCAGCCAAAATAAATTAATTAATTAAAAAAAAAAACAGGCCCATGTCGAGATTGGGACTGACATATATACACTACTATATATAAAATAGATAAATAAGAACCTGCTGTATAGCACAGGAAACCCTACTCAATACTCTGTAATGGCCTACATGGGAAAAGAATCTAAAACAAAAAGGGGGGGCTATATGTATATGTATAACTGATTCACTTTGCTGTACACCTGAAACTAACACAACACTGTAAATCAACTACATTCCAATAAAAAAAAAAAAAAACGGCCCATGTCTTTGTGATAAAAGACCCAACCAAAATAACTGATTTAAAATGTAAATCCATGAGGCAAAGATTTTCATGTTTTGTTCACTGTTCTATCTCTAGTACCTAGAACAGTGCCTACCTCACAGTAGGTGCTCAGAATACTTTTGGAAAAACTGAGGCCAGCCTCAAGCATCTCTCTATTTGATGAGTTCCCACTCCAGCAAATGGCTTTAATACTTGCAATGATTTTCTCTAACAACCAGTCTTCTTCATCTTTGTCATCTCTCCTTCGTGATCTTAGAATAAGGTAGTATTGCATCTAAATCATTAGAATGACCCGGAGCTTTTAAGACAAGATTTTTTAAAGCACAGGCTGACTTCTACTTTATAGTATACTTGTACATATACTACATCATTTTATTTTAATAAAACCTTGAGAGACTGTATTAGTAGCCCTTTTCAGATAAGGAGACTAAGGCCAGGCTCACAGAATATGGACTGAACTTCTGACTTCCTGGACATCTTCATCCATAGCACCTCATTTCCTTTTTTACCTTCATCCTCCAACTTAAAAACATATAAATACAGTGTAGAATGTATGGCAGGTACTCACTCAATAAAAGCTTCCTGATGGGGGAACTGCCTCGTTATAATTATAGTATTTTAGAGCCAGAAAGGCCTTTAGAAACTCACTATTTTTTCTAAATAAAGCTTTTTTAGAAAAAAATAAATTTAAGCTGCAGATCTCTTTTTTTCAAATAAAACCTTAAATGGAACGCTAATAGAGGATTGTTCTGATTGAAACTCACATCCAGCTCAGCTTTCTCATAATTCTGGGACATCAGCTTCCGAGACACAGTCTATCCCAGTCCCTAAAGGGAGAAACTGGCCCACAGAGGTCAAATGACTGCCAAAGGTCACACGGGGAGTCCATTCCATGTCAGAGGAGAACCTCATCCTCTGACACTTTCTGAATTCCTACTATGTGACTTTTTTCTTGTAGACCACGCTAAAGGCAAAAGAAATTTACTAGCTGTTTTATTTAGTCCCTCATTCTGAAGCTTAATGTACCTACCAAAGATGACTAGATGTTAAGTGTAAGCTCAGTGATTAAAGGATTGACTTCTGTTAGACAATGACACAGAAGTTGCTTTACCTTCAGGAGCCAATGTGAAATAAATTACCATCATACACAAATCCAGGTCTGAAGAGGGTAACAAAGCAGAACCCAGTTACTAAATAAAACCTAGCTACTGATGCCCAATTGTCTGCTTGAAGACTGTAAGATTAAGTATATTGACAGCTAGGAAAGCTTCAGGTTTTTGTGTTCCTTCTGCATGTATTAGGTGCTCTCACATTAATTTTTTCAATCCTCAAACAACTCTGTGAAGCAAGTACAAATATTTTACAGGCTTATTAAGGCTCAGAGATGTTAAGTAATTTGCTCAGGGTCACGCAGCCAATCAATGGTACTAACAATACTTAAACCTAAGACTCCTAAACTCCAGTGTAGACTGCTTTTCACTAAATAACAGTGCATGCGGACCTCGCTTTAAACTTAAAACAAAGGAGAAATGCAGTATCAAATTTTATAGAAAAAAATTAAATTGCTTATGGTAGGTTTCTAGGGGATCATTCTTAAGAGCAACAGGAGACCTGAGGGCCCATTTTTCCCTCTGCCTATAATTCGTTGTGTGACCTTGGCCACAGAGTAGGCAGAATGGGACTTAGAACTGGGAATCCCGAGACATCTGGGTTCCTCTTCCAGTTCTGACACGGACTTTCTGTGTGATCTTGAGCAATTACGTTTTCAGGCACAGTTAGTTCCACTGAGGAACCAAAGAATTGCAGAGATGGTCGGAAACCCTATCCAGCTGCGGCAGGCATCTGAGCTGTCAAGGTGAGAACGCAGGATGCTCACAAATAAAAGGTGAAAGAAAGGTGTTGCTGGTCTCCCTCTCTCAGTCTCCCAGTGTTCAGATAGCAATTCCAAGGTGCAAGGTACCCTGTGTCCTTTGAAGGGGAAATAGCTATACGATCAGATTGGTAAGAGCTCTAAGGGAGAAAAAGTCTGGCAGGAAAATGACTTCGGGATTCCCTCACCTGGGAGGTTACCCGGCCCGGGCCGGAGCAGACACCTGGGGGAGGCCTGGGCCGTGCTGGAGGGGACTCTCCGCGCGATCAGCAGGCTGCAGGGCCGCAGCCTCGGAAACCGCCGGAATGGCGGAGCCAGGGCGGCGGCTCCGGTGACCTTCCCGGGCTGCGCGCGCGGCCTGGGCTCCGGACGGGGCAGATGCCGGAGGTGGAACCGGGATGCTGCCCGGGGCAGGAACTGCGCCCCCTGCCTTGACCTTGATGCTGTCCCCGCCCCAGGCGCTACCTTCCGAGAGCGAGGCTGCCTACACACCGCACGCGGGCCACGGAGCGAGGCGCACAGGCGGCCAGGACAGGCTTTCTAACTGTCCCCAGCCGGCCGCGCGCCGCCGCCTCCCCATCGGGGGCCGCGCGCCGCCGCCTCCCCATCGGGGGCCGCGCGCCGCCGCCTCCCCATCGGGGGCCGCGCGCCTGCCCCCGCCCAGCACGCGACCCGCCCGCCAGTCACAAGCCGGCCTGCCAGGCGCTCACCTTGGATATCCACGCGGGCCCGGCCATCGTTTCCACCCTCACCACGGCGACAGCGGCGGCAGTACTGCGCAGCCGCGCAGCCCGGCAGCCCGCGCCGGGAGCCCGCCCCTGGAAGCCCCGCCCCCTTGAAGCCCCGCCCCCACGGACCCGCCTAGGGGATTCTCCGAGCACGCTCCTGGTCCCGGTCCTGGACAACCTGGCTCCGCTGGCCAATCGCCGGGCTAGTCTCTCGGCGACGTGCGGAGCAGCGACCCGGAAGCTGCAGTCAGTGATCTCCGGTAAGAGTCCTTCCTCTCCTCATTCATTCATAGATTCACTGTTCAGATGGGATGTTTGTTCCGCGCCTGCTAGATGCCAGTCACCCTTCTAGATTTGGGGGATTTAGTTTCTCTTACGGAGTTTACAGCCTCAGAGAGGGAGAAAGATCATTTACTCGTTCCACAAATATTTATTTTTATTTTTTAACAGCTCTATTGAGGTGTAACTTATATACCTTAAAATTCACTCACTGTGGCGCTTCCCTGGTGGCGCAGTGGTTGAGAGTCCGCCTGCCGATGCAGGGGACACGGGTTCGTGCCCCAGTCCGGGAAGATCCCACATACCGCGGAGCGGCTAGGCCCGTGAGCCACGGCCGCTGAGCCTGCGCGTCCGGAGCCTGTGCTCCGCAACGGGAGAGGCCACAACAGTGAGAGGCCCGCGTAGCGCAAAAAAAAAAAAAAAAAAAAAAAAAATTCACTCACTGTAATTTCGCGATGATTTTCATTAAATATAAACAGTTTGCACAGCCATCACCACAATCCAGTTTTCGAATCTATGGAAATACTCCTTTTGCCCATTTGCAGTCAATCCCAGCTCCAATCCCAGGTCCCAGCAACTACTGATCTGCTTTCTGTCTTTAAAGCTCTACAAATATTTCTGAGTGCCAACTAGATACCAGACACTGTTCTAAGTGCTGGGTTTTACAATCCAGTAGAAAAGACAGGCACCAATCAATTACACACAAATATGTAAATTAAAACTGTGATAAGTGTCAGGAAGGGAAAGTGCAAGGAGCAATGAGAAGGTAAAATCAGGGGACCTGATTCAAATCTAACAGAGAGGACAGAGAAGGCCTTTCTGAGGAAATAACACCCATACTCCCCTTCCTCCTCATCCTCTCCTCAGCAACCAGAGTCCTGAAGCTCTACTGATCACGGGTCCCCTAGTTGGGTGCCGCGGTGATAGACTAAGTCTCCCCCCACCCCACCCTGGAAGAGGTTGTTTCCAGAGAAGAGCTACCCATCTACCCAGAAAGGTGGTGAATTAGGTGCAGAAGTGATGCCAGTGACTTTCATGAGATAATAAAGTACAGCTAAGTCTGTGGCCTCATCAGGATACAGGGATCTCATCAATCTCTTCTCCTTGGCCTTTCCTCTCATCAGGCCCTGGCAGTCCCACCCAGGGGTGTTCTCCCCAGTCCCCCTCCACTCCATCCCCACTGCCACCCCTGCCCTCCTGCAGGACTGACCATCTGATGCCCAGACAACCCAGTCCTTTCTCCACACAATCCTCTCCTTCACTCACAGCTCTGACCAGGGCCCATCCGGGCCCTAAAACCTCCTGGCTCTCTCTTGCATTCATCTCTCACCACTGTCTTTTTCAGCCATATTTCCTGTCACTCCTTCGAGCCCCAAAGTCCTGGAGTGCCAGCCAAGTAGGGCTCCTGGCCAGCCCCCAAATGCTTCCCATAGTTTACCCACCCTATGCTCATGCCATTCCCTCTGCCAGAATGCCCTTTTACACCATTTCCACCTGTTGAAATTCCAGCCACTTGTCAAGACTCAGCTCAGATGTTGGTTCCTTTGGGAAACTCCCCAGACTCATCCATGTTTTCCTTCTCCCTACTCAGAGCCCCCTAGCACTTGGTTCCCACCTCTCCCAGGAACCTTATCACATTCTACCCTGCTGTGTACCACTGAGATCCTCCTCAAGCCCAGAGACCATCTGTTATGTCTTTGTGTCTGGAATATAGACTCAGAGTACTTGCTGCTCAGTGATTACAAAACAAATGCAAAATGACTTTCTCCAAGAGGTCCATTTAATTCACAACAGCTCCATGGGGAAACTGAGGTACAGCTAGTAAGTGATGATGCCGACATTGTACTAGGATGCCTCCTAATTACTATGGCAGTTCTCCTAACTGCTAAGCTTCCCCTGGGGAGGGGGGTCATTCAACTCAACAAAGGCTTCCTAAGCAGAGTCCCTCTCAGGTGCACTGTGAGGACAAGGAAATGAATAAGCCCCAGCCCTGCCCTCGGAGTCTAGTGAGGGAGAAACACAGAAAAAATTCAGCCAGTGACAGGTGCTCTAACAGTTTGGGGGGTGGGGCTGGGCAGGAGAGGGGTGTTGATTAGGGAAGATTCCACTATGGAGATGGCATTTGAATCAGCCCTTGAAGAAGTCAAAGTGGTCAGCAGCCTAAGATGGGGCAATAAGGAGGGACCAAGGCCAGCAAAGACTTTGAGGCAGAAAAGTGTCATTCTCAGAAGCTCGGGTTCTCAGTACTGAAAGGACCTTAGAGGTTTCCCAGTCTAACTCCCATAACAAGGTGCTTCCTGACTCTGGAGCAGCTGGAGGGACGCCAGGAAGACAGAAGCTACCTCCCGCTCAGCTGGGACCCATTCCCTGAGTCCAGAACTGCCAGCCGCTACTCCTCATACATGTTCCAGAGTTTCTCCAACATGCAGGTCACTCTCCTCTGGACAAGCCCCTTTGTCCTGTCCCTTGCACTTTGTAGTGCCAGAGGTCCCATCAGCGAGGTATGTTTGAACTAGACGGTGGGAAAACTTTGCCACTCAGGAGAAGGATCTAGAAGGTGTGCCCTTATTGGTGACTACAGCACAACACAATCCAGGTGTGCTTCACTCTAAGAAATGTTTTTGTAATCAACATGGCAGTTTTTAAATCAATCAGTCAGCAAAATAGGAATATAATTATTCACATACCAAAGGCTTTTAAAAAATTTTTACAAAAGGAACACAAATTTATTTACACAGAATTTCCCTAGTTTATTTTCCTAACTATTAAGACTTTAGTAAATAAATGGGCAAAGGACCTGAATAATCAGTTCACAGTCAAAGAAACACAAATAAACTTTTTAAATGTCCAACCTTAACCATAATCAAGTACATGCAAAGATATTTTAAATTTGAAGCTTTTACCCCTTTTATTAGAAAGTGTAACTGAAATGCTAATGTCCTCTACTATCTAACTTATGGTGAAACTGCCGCACTCTAAGTTTTGGCTGGCCTTATAAACTGCCACAGTCTTTGTGGAAAACAGTTTAGCAATGTGTCTCAAGAGCTATTAAGTGTTTTTACTCTTTCACTTAGTAAATCCATTCCTGAGAATCAATCCCTTGAGAAATCTTCTAAGAAAGATCCACAAAGACAAAGCTATCAGCACAAAGATATTCATTATAGGATTATCTATAATTTTTAAAATTAAAACAGAAACAGTCTAGATAATTACAAGGAAATGGTTATGTAATTTAGGGTAAATGAATTGAATGGAACACCACACAGCCCTCAAAAGTGATCATTATGAACACTCTTTAGGGTCTCAGTGTCTATGGTTTAGTGTTCAGGAAAAAAAATATCAAATTTAAAATGTTTGCTCTGCTATAACTTCTTGCTATACGTGAGCAGAGACTAGCAGGGAAACTACTTCCTCCCACAGTCTTCCCTCACTTGATAAAATCCAGCTGCGATCTCCCAGTTGCTCAGACCACAAGACTTGAAGGTGAGCTCTATTTTCCAGATAGATCCAGAATTGGACACTTCTTCCCACCTCCACTGCTCCCATCCTGGTCCAAGCCAAAATCGTCTCTTGCCTGAATCAACACAGTAGCCTCCAAACCCATCTCCCTGCTTCCACCATTGCCTTCTTACAGTCCATCTCCTGCCTTAGGGATTCTGTTAAAACATAAGACAAATACATCCTCCACTGGCTCAAAATAGCCAGTGTTATCTCGTCTCCATCCAAGTAAAAGCCAACACTCTGACAGTGGCCCACAAGGCCCTACACAGTCTGGTCTTACTACTGATGCCAACAACTCAGCCTCTGTTCACTGGTGCCAAATCGAATCTCAGAGACAGAGTTTTGGGTGAAGTAGAAAAGAATATCTTTATTGGTTTGCCAGGCAAAGGGCAACACAGCATGTTCCTGTCCCTGAAAACTGTGTCCCAACCTGGGAAGATTTGGTGAGGAGTTTTATAAGCAATGGTTCAAGGGTGGGGTTGCTGATAAGATTAGGGTGTGTGCAGGGCCTGCATTCCTTTAATCTGGTCTCAGGTAATTTTTTTTTTTTGGCCATGCAGCATGCGGGATCTTAGTTCCCCAACCAGGGATCAACCCCACGCCCCCTGCAGTAGAAGCCTGGAGTCTTAACCACTGGACCACCAGAGAAGTCCCTCAGGTAAACTTTTGATGAGTTTCTCTGGTTCCTTTACTCTGGACTCAGGTGGTCTTCTCTGGTATGAAGAATGCTGACATCTGCCATTTGTTGTGTTTTAGTTCTATGAAGAGCTCAAACATGTTGTTATGTGTATCCCTTGAGGCAGAACCAGGACCTGCCCCAAGGCTGCACTATTGTTTCTTGGCTCCTCCTCCCTTGTCACTGCATCCCCTTCCTTCCCTGATTAGCAACTGTCTGAATCTGCCCTTTGGAACTCAGGGAAGGTCATGGAGGCTGGAGTCTGTTCTGTACAAACAAGCAATGGGGGACGCAGAAAGTCTTCCGTGCCCAGGGGCCCCACAGGGTCCTGCTCAGTTTCACTGCCCCCTCTCTTTTCTCATCTCCCACCACTTTCCCCTTCATCACTCTCTTTTAGATATGTGCCTCCTTGCTGTTCTTTGATCAGACCACACTTTGTCCCAGCTCAGGGCCTTTGCACTTGCTGTTCCCAGTGCCTGGAATGCTCTTCCTCATGGCTTGCTCCCTTGGCTACTCCTCATCCCCCTACCACCCCAGACCCTGGCAACCACCAATCTATTTTATGTCTCTATGTCTTTGCCTACACTGGGCATTTCATACAAATGGAATCATACAATTTGTGCTCTCTTGTGATTGGCTTCTTTCACTTAGAAATTAAATAATGTTTTCAAGATTTATCCATGTGTATTGGAAAAACCTTGGTTCTTTTCCTCCTGTGTCTTTCCTAACTCTAACACTACTGCCACACTCACAACACTTCTGACACTTCCAGTCACCAAATGTGTGTGGGAGGGCGTTCCCCACCAAGCAATTCTCTGTGAAACCAGCTGGGTGTCCTACAATTTAACTCAATTCTGACACTATATACCTCGAGACAGTGTCAGATCCCACAAGTTAAGGGCTCAGTCCTACAAGATTGCTCCCACCCCACTTCAGATGACAGTTGCAAGTCCAGGTTGTCACCTGTGCTTCTGACCCATGGGCTTTAAATGTGAAGCTACTATGACCTTCTCCTCAGTTTTGATTAATTTTCTGGAGTGGCTTCACAGAACTCTGGAATATATTTACATGCATCTACTAGTTTATTAAAGGATATGATAAAGGATACAGATGAACAGCCAGATGAAGAGACACACAGGGTAAGGTCTGGAGGGGTCCCGAGCACAGGAGCTTCTGACCCTGTGGATTTGGGGTGCATCATCCTCCCAGTACACAGATGTGTTCACCAACCTGGAAACTCTTGTATGGAGTTTTGTATGGAGGCGTCCTCACATAGGCATGATGGATCATTGATTCCATTTCCAGCCCTTCTCTCTTCCCGAGAGAATGGGGAGCAGGGCTGAAAATTCCAAGCTCTAATCATGGTGCCAAAATACAAAATTCAACTGGGGAAATTTGAAAATCTAATTGACTCTATTCAACGATTCGTGAATCAGGCAGCATCCCATCTAGGAAATCCCATCTAGGAAATAGAAAGTACAGGTGTGTGTCTCCTCCACAAGAGGAGACACACACCTGTACTGTGAGCCTCTCAGCCCCTGCTGATCTGTCCATCCCACACAGAGCCACTCACAATGTTTACTGACCAAACAGATGAACCGACTGACTCTCTGACTGTACTTCCCCCTCTTCAGTGGCATTTGGAGAGCAATTCTGCACAGCCACTGCCCCTCGAAGTTCCAGGGCTCGCCAAGCTTCTACATTGAAAACTGAACTCATCACTCTCCCCACTAAACTTCCCTCCCTCCTCTGTTCCCCATCTCAGCCAAGGGGTCACCCTCAACCCCTTCATCATTCAGAAAAGATTCTCTGTGCAGCTAGTGTATTCCAGGCCTGTGCTAGGTACAAGGGAGGAAGCAGTGACACAGGGGAGGTGAAGTCCCTGCCCTCTAAGGCTTCAGCGTGGTTCTCAACACTGTCAGCTAGGATCCCCCCACGCCCTTTAATAAATATTTTGAATATCCTCCGCTTTAAATTCATGGATATTATAACCTACTTATACATGTAATGAAAAGACAAAATCAATATAATATAATGAATATAAAAGGGAAATAAAAGGAGCATTAGAATAAAATGTGTTTCAATCTCTAAATGCTTAGGCCTAATACACCAGAGACGTAATAAAGTAGTCACGTGCTTGCACCTACTTAGGACAAAGAAATCTGGATTTAAGGGATGTAAGACGATATTCAGGCAATACTTTATTTTTGGCATTTGAAAGTAAGAGCTTCAAAAGTAGAATTTTGGGCTTCCCTGGTGGAGCAGTGGTTGAGAGTCCACCTGCCGATGCAGGGGACACGGGTTCGTGCCCCGGTCCGGGAAGATCCCACACGCCGCGGAGCGGCTAGGCCCGTGAGCCATGGCTGCTGAGCCTGCGCGTCCAGAGCCTGTGCTCCGCAACGGGAGAGGCCACAGCAGTGAGAGGCCCGCGTACCGCAAAAAAAAAAAAAAAAAAAAGTAGACTTTTGTATACCATGAAACACGGCGACCGCGACATCAACACATGCAGACGGATCCAGGTGTGTCGTATGGGGACTCATCCCATGGTCAAGCAAAATCCTCAAACAATTAGATTTGCCAGCAGGTATCTGGGTGAATTTCTTCTTTCTCTATCATGAGTCATGTTGCCATTACAGGTGTGATTTTCCAAAATGGTGATAAGTCCTTGCTAAAGCTCTTGAGCAAAGCAAAACTTGGTCTTCCCTTGATTTACACAGTAGTTGCGTTCCTGGAAAAGTCAGCATATGTTAAAACCACACCAAAAAAAAATTGAGTTTATTTGTAAAATTACTAGTTTCCAAGCTCGGTTAATTACAGGGTGTGTTACCTACAGGAGCATTTGGTTGGACTTCTTAAAGTCCTGTGGGACAAGAAACATTCTCCGCTGGGCAGGACTGTCGCTACATTGCAGGAGAGCCAGCATCCCCAGGCCCCTGTCCACCACATGGAAATAGCACCCTCCTGTAACTGCATCCACTGAAATATCCCATACAGTTCAAAGCATTCCTTGGGAAGCATTATCCCTTCCATGAAGAACATTGGTCTAGAGGGTCAATATTCAAACAGTTGATCCCAACCCAGTGTAACACGCGCGGCAATACAGATTCCAGGGTCTGTGGGTGCTCCAAACCTGGGGTATCTCAGGAACTGGGGGTTCAAAGTGGACAGATCACTATAAGCAGACAAGACCTAAGGGAGGCCAATTTTTAGACAGAAAGAAGGGAAGGCAAAGGGGTGCCAGGCAGAAGGGACACCATAAGCCAAGGCCTGGAGATGAATGACAATCCATGAGGTATGTGGGAAATGCAAGGGTTAGAGCCCAAAGGGCCAGGTGGTGAGAGGCTGGAGGAAGAGGCAGGGTCCAGACCCTCCCACGCCTATCACAGGAAGCAGCATGGACTCTGTCCTGGGAGGTAATGGGGAACCATCTCACATACGATGCATTTACTCACAAGTGCATTATTTTTTTAAGGGACTCTGCTCAAAAGATTTGTCCCCCTGAGGCCTGTTTTGGGAGTAGTATCTTACTTCTCCAGAAGTAAAGCCTGGAAATGCAAACCAGGGATGCTGATCGAATCAAATTGACCTGATCTATTCCTATTTGCTTACACTGTGGGGCCTGGCTTTGCTCGATCTGCCCAAGTCTATAGGTTAAGTTCAGAGAAGCTACATAAACAGTGACAAGCCTTCCCTGAAAGCAGATCATGACTCCCAGCACAGCCCTTCCCCTAGAGAAATCCAGCCTGTGGGCTGCGCAGTTAATGGCATGGGCTTTTGAAAGCCAATTCCCACAGTCCCCACAGTGGACAGAGGAGCTGAAAGGAACGATCCCCAGGCAAACCTGGTCCCCAGTCTCACCCCACAGAGGGTTCTGAAGATTTTATGATTAATATGACACCTTATAACATCTTAAAAAATGCTTGAGCAAGCAGAAGCTAACATATTGGCAAAACACCTGTTGAATCCCCCATTTTTCTGGATTAATCAAAAAGATGCAGGGAAATGAACTAAATCAGAATCCTCCCTACACAGACTTCCAAATAATCCTCCAAACACAGAAATGAATATTCAATGATTCAGGGCCTGCCTTTGAGGAATGCACAGGCAGCTGGGGAGCTGTACAGATAGTTCTAGGAGACAGTTTATGTTAGGGTGATGGGGCTTGGCGGGGGGTGAGGTGTTCCCAGACAGATTCCTTTGTTCTTTTTGTGTAAATCATGATCCCAGGGCCTCTTTACGGTCACAAAAACCCCCAGCTCACCAGGGCTCTCCAAGAGGTCTTCCAGAACCATCTTTCTGCGTGATTTAGCCCCCCTCCCAGTGACGGTGAAAGCCACCTGACTTCAAAAAGTATGGAATCTAAGGCATTTGAGCATCATTTTTACCCCACAGGCAACACTCTCGCCTCCCTCTCTGATGCTGAAAGCTTGGAAGGGACCATAAAGTTTATTTCACAGCTGAAGAAATTGATGCTCGGAGAGGGACAATGACTTGCCCAAGGTCGCAGTGAGCAAGCAGGGATTGGAAACCCAAGCCCAGGCTTACCACTTACATGCAAGACCTCACGTAAATATGTTTATGAAAGTCCTCCTCCCCAGGGCAGTGACTAATCAAACCGTCTCTAAGAGGGAGTTGTTCATACACTCACAAAATGAATGTTCTAGGCCCACGTTCAGTGCTGAAGCCACTGACCATGTGTGGCTATTAAGCACTTGAAATGTGGCAAGTTCAAACTGAGAAGGGTGTGAAATGCACACCTGGTTCCAAAGGCTTAGACTGAACAAAAGAATGTAAAATATCCCCTTAGTAATTTGTTATATTGATTACTTGTTGAAATAACAATGTTTTAGATATATCTGGTTAAATAAAAATATTATTAAAATGAACTTCATCTGTTTCCTCCTTCTTTTTTCACTTTTTTTTGGCTACTAGAAAGTTTAACATTACGTACATGGATCGCACTCTATTTCCATTGGACAGAGCTTCTACAGGCATTGAGGATATAGCAGAGCACAGAACAGACAAAAATCATGCGCTCCTGGAGTTTATCCCCTGAGGGAGGAGAGAGACAACAAATGAATAAGTGAAATAAGTGCTATAGAAAAATGAAGCAGGGAAGTGGGGGAGGGGGTAGAGAAGGGAGGAGGGGTTGACATTTAAAATAGGATGATCAAGAAAAGGCTTCCTTTACGTTAGCCTTCAGGAAAATGCAAATCAAAACCATGAGGTACCACTTCATCACCCCCCTCTAGGATGTCTGTAATCACAAAGACAGGTAATAACAAGTGTTGGAGAAGATGTGGGAAATTGGAATCCCGATAACACTGCTGGTGGGAATGTAAAATGGTGCAGCCACTTTGGAAAACAGTCTGGCATTTTCTCAGAAGGTTAAACAGAGTTACCATATGACCCAGCAATTCCCTCCTAGGTATCTACCCAAGAGAAATGAAAACACATGTCCACACAAAAACTTGTACATGCATGTTCATAGGAGCATTATTCCTAATAGCCAAAAAGTGAAACAGCCCAAATGTTCACTAATTGATGAGTGGATATATAAATTGTAGTGTCTCCATACAATGGAATATTATTCAACCCTAAAAAGGAATGAGGTACAGAAACATGCTACAACATGGATGAATCTTGAAAACATTAAGCTTAGTGAAGGAATTCAATCACAATAGAGCATATGTCTGATTCCATTTAATGGAATTCTAATTCCTTGAAATGTCCATAATAAGCAAATACATGAAGACAGAAAGTAGATTGGTGGGAGGGTTGAGCAAACTGGGGAGAAATGGGGAGTGCCTGCTAATAGGTCTGGGGTTTCTGCTTGGAGTGATGAAAAATGTTCTGTAGCTGATCATGGTGAAGGTTGCACAACTCTGTAAATACGCTAAAACCCACTGAATTTGTATACTGAATTGTCATGGGTGAATTGCATGGCATATGAATTATATTAATAAAACTGTTATTAAAAAAAAAGAAAACAAAGACTTCACTGAGAAGTGATATTTGAGCAGACATTTGAGTGAATTAATTGGCTATTTGCGGGAAGGACATTCCAGGCAGAGGGAACAGCAAGTGCAAAGGCCCTGAGGAAAGAGCAGGCTTTTTCAAGGAACAGGCTAGAGCAGAATGAGAGGGAGAGAAGAAGGAGTTGAGTCAGAGGGATGGGGCAGCAGATCATATAGGGTCTTCCAAGCCATGGGAAGGACTTTGGCTTCTCTGCTGAATAAGATAAGTCACTGGTGGCTTTAGAGCAAAGAGGGATCAGTGTGGCTGCCGTGTTGAGAATAGCCTTCAGGGGTCATTTGCAGAAACAATGAGAAAGCTGTTATATTGTCTGAACATTTCAGTTGAACTAACATGATGTATATGTGTGTGTTATTGGTTTGAACCCCCTAGAACAGGGAGGGGTTGGCAAATTGCAACCCGGGGGTCAAATCTGGCCCACCATCTATTTTTGGACAGCCTGTGAACTAAGAATTGCTTTTACATTTTTTTAAAATCAGAAGAATAATACTTTGTGAGACATGAAATTCAAATTTCAGTGTCCATAAGTAAAGCTTTACTGGAACACTTCCAGGCCCATTTGTGTGTATAGATGCTTTCACAGCAGAGGTGAGTAGATGCAACAGGGACAAGTCCTGAAAAAATGATATATTTGAAAACAAAAAATATTTAGTGAGAAAAGTGGCATTGTTTTACAGTCAGCCCTCCTCTGCGGAACCCGTGGATATGGAGGGCCGACTATGGGACTCAGATTTTGGTATGAGGGCAGGTCCTGGAAGCAATCTTCCACAGATCCTGAGAAACCACTGTACATGTTTGTAAATATCTTTAAAGTCTGGCTTGGACTTCCCTGGTGGTGCAGTGGTTAAGAATCCGCCTGCCAATACAGGGGACATGGGTTTGAGCCCTGCTCCGGGAAGATCCCACATGCCACAGAGCAACTAAGCCTATGCGCCACAACTACTGAGCCTGTGCTCTAGAGCCCGTGAGTCACAACTACTGAGCCCATGTGCCACAACTACTGAAGCCCGCGCGCCTAGAGCCTGTGCTCCGCAACAAGAGAAGCTGCCTCAATGAGAAGCCTGCGCACCGCAACGAAGAGTAGCCCCCGCTCCCTGCAACTGGAGAGAGCCCGTGCGCAGCAACAAAGACCCAATGCAGCCAAAAAATAAATTAATTAATTTTAAAAAAAGAAAAGTTACTTATAAGTATTTTTAAAAAAAGTCTGGCTTAACAGAAGACAGCTGCATTCTCATATCTGATTCTTCCTTCAACCTGTGGCAATACTACACATGTAAATTCTGGAAAACTCCCGGAAAACTCCCCTCTGTGCTTGGGAGAAAATGAGAGTGAAAAACAAAAATAATGTCCTAGTATTATTATGAAAATAATAATAGTGCTGATCTCACAGACCCTCTGAAAAGGTCCCAGGGACCACACTTTGAGAGCTGCTCCCGTGGAGGCAGCAGGGACTTTACCCGGAAGCCACACTCCAGAGGCACTTCTGCAAGTGCTTAAATTGTCTTAATGCCATTTCAGCAGAGAGTCTGTTCATTAGCAACCTGATGGCCAAAATAATTGTCCATCAGTCAAACAGGCAGTGTTCCAGATGTGCGATGTGCTGTCCATGTGCCTCTGCTCTTGCACCGCAAGGCATAAGAATCTAGTGAGCTCCAATGGGCTCTAGGTCTTAGGAATTCGTCTGGTCTGGGGTTCAAGCTGCTGAGTGAGGATGCCATCGCCTGACCCTGAATTGAAGCTTGTTCCTCAAATATTGTTGCTTCTGCCTTGGACTTAATCTTTTCAAGAAGGAAGCTTTTTGGAACACCCAGGACATATATCTGGGCCTTCATTGAGCTCACAGAGGAGGTCATATAACTCGAGGACCTGCTTGCTAATCAGTGATGGTCCGTGGCACAGAATTCAGGCTAAAACTGGCTTGCATTGCCTCAGTGCCCCCTGCTAGTAGCAAGGTACGCTCATCTACCACTCATTACTGGAGATTACTGAGATCTACAGCAACACTGAACCCAGTTGCGATGAACTGGCTTAGTCGTGTCATGATGTAATCTACCACAGTAATCCAGGAGAGAGGTGAGGGGGACTTGGACCACAAGATAGTGATAGAGTGCTACAGAGTGGTTGGATTCTAGACATAACAGGCTGTGCTAATGAACCAAGTGTGGAGTGTGAGGAGAAGAGAGGAACCGAGGATGCCTCCAAGGATTTTAAAGGCACTTGAAAGGATGGATGGGGCAGCCTGCAGGAGAAACAGGTTTGTGGGGGAGACTGACCCCTCCCCCCCTCAACCGGACAGTCACCATCAGGTTGGGGTCTCATTCTAGGCCATCCGGGAACTTCCCACATCCAGAGTAGCTTCTGGGGAAGGGTCTAGAACAGGTCAAAAGAGGTGGTTCATGAAGGGAGAAGGTGGGTTCATTCTGTTTGCTCTGTATGAAAGGGCTTGGTCAGAAATCCCCTGGTGGTCCGGTGGTTAGGACTCTGTGCTTCCACTGCAGGGGGTAACAGGTTCAATCCCTGGTCCAGGAACTAAGATCCCGCATGCCATGCAATGCGGCCACAAAAAAAAAAAAAAAAAAAAAAAAAAGAAAGGGCTTGGTCACTCAGTCCTCCAGGAGGAAAATCTATTCCAAGTCAGAACATTTGGGGAGCTACTTGAATCAATGTGTAAACAGGTCCAGAAAATGTATTCTTTTAAAGAATGTTGATTCAATATTTACTAAGACCTTGTCCTAGAGCCTGGGGATAGAACCAATTAAAACGTGGTGCCAGCCCTCCTGAATCTTAGTATTCAAGAGGAAATAATTTCCCTCCTTCAAAAAAGATAGCCCCAGGCTATGTATTCATTCATCCACCAAATATTCATGAAGAATCTACTACATGTAAAGTGCTGGAGATACAGGAAAGTTACAAGACAAGCTGTTCAGCGCTAGAATATAGGCCAGATTTAAAAAAGGGATTGTGAGGTGTCTTGTGTGTATGCGATGAGGTTGACCAAGGAACAGCTCACAGAATATAAACAGCAGCTGTATCAGGGGAGCGGCCAAGATAAGTGCTCTCTAAGCAAAGATAAGACTTCAGGAGGAATGAGGTTTAAATTGCCCCTAAAATAGAGAAGACTCAGATGAGCCAAGATAGCTAGCAGGTCCTACTAGGAGGTGGTGTGAAGCTGATATAAAGTTAGAGGTAGGTTAGCAAAAGATATGAGTGTAGGACAAGAGAGTGACTCACTGGGCACGTGGGGCTGCTAGAGGGAAGATTTACTGTAGATATTCCCGCCCAGGCCTTGGGCCCAGAACACCTTATCTCTGCCATCAAGATCCACTTAGATTCTAAGTCCTAGACTAACAACTTGCAGATCAATGACATTTCAACACAAAGAATAGCTAGTCAATGAGGAAGGACCTTGAAAAGAAGGAAAGAAATCAATGTTTTATTATATTTACCGACCCTTTAACTCCTATCAAGTTTACTCCTTGGGCATTTTGTAGTATTTATCCCTCCTGTTTTTCTTCCAAATTTTGCAAAGTGCCAGGAATCCCCAAACTACCCCTTGTTGCTACCTTCTGATGTTACATCATTTACAAAGACTGCAACTGCCTAGGAGTTGGCCCCCTTTAAACAGCGGTAACCATATGTTCCCCTGCCCCTAGACAGTGTGATCAAGACAGCCAGGACCGGCCTTCCCTGGTGGCGCAGTGGTTGAGAGTCCGCCTGCCGATGCAGGGGACACGTGTTCGTGCCCCGGTCCGGGAAGATCCCACATGCCGCGGAGCAGCTGGGCCCGTGAGCCGTGGACGCTGAGCCTGCGCGTCCAGAGCCTGTGCTCCGCAACGGGAGAGGCCACAGCAGTGAGAGGCCCGCGTACCACAAAAACAAAAACAAGACAGCCAGGACCCAGATTTAAATCACCAGCTGCATGCCCTTGGGCAAGTCACCTTTTCTGAGATTATTTCTTCATCTGTGAAATGGGATAATAATGCCAAACTCTACAGACTTAAGAGGTGTTCATGGAATAATTATATTCAGTAAATGTAAAGCATCCAACACAATCCTGGGCGCAGAGTAGGTAATCAATGCTTCTTTCTTCTCCCTCTGTCCACTCTCCCCTCAACAAACACATACACTGTCTTTTTCACACTCAACAGCTGGAAGCAGCAGAAGCACGATTTGGAATCAGAGAAGGAGGTGAGAGTCACGCTTTGCCCCTTCCCAGCTGGATGGCATTGGGCAGGTCACTTTGCCTCTCTGAGCTGGGGGTTTCTCATCTGTAACTTGTATGCCATGCCCTCTTCACAGCATTGTTGTAATAGCTCAAGAGAGACAGGGCCTCACTTAGGGCAATGGCAATAGCTATCACAAAGGATTTGCTAAGGGAATACTCTAGCCAGGTTGTTGCTTCTGTTTATCATCTGTGAGAGGAGGGACTCCCAGAACTGAAAATACAGCCCTCTTTGTAGAAGTTCTGGCTTTTCTGCCAGGAACACCTGGCATACAAATGAGTAGCATGTTAGCAACTGTAAAGGAATGTAACAGAGCAGGATATGAGTACACAGAATTCTGGCCAATTCACAGGCAATGGGGAATCTAAGATGTTTGTTAATAGTGATTGTGTGGTTTGGAGAAGGTTTCAGTTTCCCCAACTCTAATAATGGGAGAAAGACGAATTGCAGATGGAATCTTATAAAGGCCTGTCTCTGCTCTAAAATTCCACATTCTCTGAATCTGCCTTGTTTCCCACAGCTGTCCGCTATAAATGTCCAATATAAATGAAGGATGGTGAGGCAGTCTCTGAAGGCTGGTCAGCAATCCCCTGGGCTTCTGAATTGTTTCCTGCCCGTCTGATAGCAATTGATTATGCCTCTGATGACTCTTGCAATATCATCAGGGAGCCTTGTCTGTTTAGCTGATGGCTGCTATTCTCACCAGAGGGTGGCAAAATAATGTCGGAAAACCCCAACCAGGAACCTCAGGTATAAAAGGAAAATGTAAAAACACCAGGGATCATCTGCCAAACTTGGACCCCTGCTCCTCTTGGAACCCCCAACCTTCAGCCGAAGCAACGATTCTCAAAGCATGGTCCTGGTTCCAGCAGCATCAGCATCACCTGGGAACCTGTTGGCCCCCCACATGCTTGGCCACCCAGACTTAAACCGGAAGCTCTGGGGGTGGAGCCTACCAAGTGATTCTGATGCACTGCTCTCAGTGGTTAAAGAAACAAATCACCTATTTTAAAGCATAAAGTCTTGGTCTTCTCATCAGAGTCCAGGTGTGAGCTGAGCCAGTGCTGGAGTCCAGCTCAGGTTCTGCTACCTCCTCGCTGTGGAACTCTGGGCAAGTTAGTAAACCGCTCTCAGGAGGTAATACCTATAGCATCAGCGGTCCTGGGGTGATAAGTAACAAACGTGTGAGCTGGACCCTTCAAAGGTAGTTAGCGGTGGCTCCATTTGCTGCAATGGATGGCATCTGTTTAAAAGCCCCGCAAAACTTCCTGGCATTTGTCACAGTAAGTCTCTGGACACAGTAAGTCTTTTAAATCCTCTCAAGTCTCACGTATCCAAGGGCTCAAAGAAAGGCAAGCAAGTCCCGTCCTCCTCCCTGAGGGACCCAGGGGGTCTGAGATACTCTGACCAGGCCGTGGTCAAAGACCAGATCAGCTTCCCCGGGCCTGGCCCGGGAGGGGCCTTAGAAGTCATCTCGATCGACCCCCTGCTTTTCCGCGGAGGAACGGGGCCCAAGGTCGCGCGGTGAGACGCTGGCAGAGCTGGGCCCCAGGCTGGATCCCCGCACTCACAGTTCAGGGCTCTCCCCCTGCTCCTCACTGACGCCCCGCGCCCCAGCTCAAGGGGAGCCAAGATCACCCAGTCGCCCCCACTGCACCCCTCGAATGGATCTGCTCAGGCCCCGCACCCTCAGCCCCGCACCACCTGGGCTCCCGGCGGCCGGAAGTTCCTGGGTCCATCCAGCCGACGCGGGCGCGGGCGCCAGACGGGCCAGGCAGCGCCTCCCGCGGCCAGGCCGCCCCCTGGCGGGCCCGGGGCGCTCGGCAGCTGGGAGCCGGGTGCCCGCCCTCTCCCCGCCGTGGGGCGGAGTCGCCACGCTTGGGGTCCGTTCCCCTCCTCCCAGGCTCCCGCCCCGTCCCCGCCGGGTGGGTTGCGGGGCGCGGCGCCTTGAGGCCGGGCGGCGGGTCCGGCGGCCGTCGGAAGCTGCCCGCCGAGGGGCTGACGAGGGCCGCGGGCGCGGGGCTCCGGCGGCCGCTGATGGGAGGCGGCCTCCGGGAGAGCAAGCGACGGCGCCGCAGCCACCATGGGGAACAAGCAGACCATCTTCACCGAAGAGCAGCTGGACAACTACCAGGTGAGCGCGCCGCCCGGCCCCCGAAGCGGCGCCCCTCGGCTCCTCCCTTCTTTTTCCCGTCGCTTGCCGAGGCCTCCCGACAGCCGTTTCCCCGGGTTCAAACCTTGCTTCTGCTTTCAGCTCGACGCTTGACCTTGGGCTGGTGACTTCTCCGAGCCTCAGTTTACCTACCCGAGGAATGAGAGCGCTTTCCACTTAAAAGATTCTCGCAGGCGTCCCTCTTTCCAGCTTCCCCCCTCCTCTCTCTCTCATTCAGACTTCTTGCTCTTGGCCCCAGGCTGGACCCGAACCCTTCCCCGACTACTCCTCCCATCGCCCACCTTGGCTCAGAGATGGAGTCCTTAAAAGTAGGCTGGAGGGAGGACCCTCCCACCCCCACTACCCCCGAAAACCTGGGAAGCAGCCCAGGAGAGTGAGTCTTTGTAAAGTAGCAATTAGCTGTTAGCTGGGTAGGGAGTGAAGTGCATCAGCACCCCAATGCCATTCTAGGTTGGGGTCTCTCCGTATGGCCTCAGTATGGAAATAATTGGAGCAAGAAGGCAAGCGAGGTACCAGTCTTACATGGTCACCTCTCCAAGCTTCCTAAGTCCCCCAGCAGCCACCCCCTTAGACCCTCCTGAGTTCCTCTGCCTCCAGAGCCCGGGAGCTGTCCAGATCAGATCCCAACGCCCTCATGTACAAACTTTTCTGTGGTTGCAGGATGGAGGAGCCCAGCTTCCTGGCTTGCCCAGAGCCCTGGCCAGCCTGCCCAGGCCCCTTCCCTGCCCTGAGCACTGCTGCTGCCCCAGAACTATCCGCGTTCCCTTGACACGCCGGGCTCTTTCCTCCCTCTCTTTGCCCGTGCTCGGGGATGCCGTTCCCGGGTCTCCAAATGATTTCACTTACCCTCCCAGGCCCAACTCTGATGCTTCATTCCTGACTCTGCCAGGCAGAGGGGGCTGGACTGTGTTGTGGCCTGTGTGGAGTGTGGTTGGGGGAGATGAACACCAGCAGGGTCTCCACAGCTGCCTGTTGCCTTCGTGAATATTTATTTTGGCATCGAGCTTGAAGTGTGGGTCCTCTGATGTGGGCACAAGTAAAATAAAGGCCCTTTTCCTCCTGGAAGTGCTGGTTGTCAATAACACTGCTTTCTCAGGGCCTCACCTGGAGGCGCCTTCTGTGTACCCAGCACTATAATGGGAGGCTCTCTATGCATCAACTCATTTGATCATCACAGGGAGGTGGGTTATTTAGCCCCATTTTACAGTAGAGTAAACAAAGGCTGAGGAGGCCTTCGGTACCCTGCACAGTGAAGGTTCACACAAGAATTTGAATTGTGAATCCAAGACTCACTCCCTTCGTTGCGGCTGGGGGCTGTGTGTGCTCTATGTCCTCAAGGCCCTCACTGTCTGCAGAGACGGCCCCTCGCCTCCAGTGCGAGGCAGGCGGTGAGTGTGCTCTAGGGGAGGGCACTAGGGGGCAGTGGGAGACCTGGAGGGAAGGGGGTCTTTGCTTCGACTGGTAGGTTCAGAAATAATGCAGCGCTTGCAGACCCTTGAAAGGTCAGTAGGATTTTGCCCATCAGAGCCCCGACGGAGGCATTCCAGGCAGAGGGGACAGCTTGGGTAAAGACTTGGAGGTGGGTACAGGCAGGCAGGTAGACCATGCTCAGAAGAGTAGCCTCGTGGGCATGGGGAGCCTGGGTTCCCACTCAGTCCAGCCTGGCGTTGAGTTACCATTCGGAGTCAGGCCCAGTACTGGGTTCTGATCCTTTGCCAGAGGCTGGGCCTGGTGGGAGAAACGAGAGCTGTGAAACCTGAGAGCCCCACGTCTCCCTCCCTGAGACTCTCCAGCTGGCCAGGGCCAGCGAAGGCCAAGCTGGGGGTGACCTCGAGTAACAGCCACCCCCTCCCCCAACTGATCTCCAGGGTTTCCTGCCCTCTTCCCCAGTCCCCAGGTGCCAGTGATTCCCAAAGTTCAGATTTCTTCCCAGACCAATTCTCTGCCTTCCAGATCCAGCCCCTAGACCCCTCAAGCAACCAAGAGCTCATCGCCTTCCCCAGGACCCTCCACTGCTCTTTGCTCTACTATGGCCTATGTTTTCAGTCAAGGACAGGTCCTGTAACTCTCATCCTCTTTGGGGGCTCACCTGGGGATCCCATCCTCGATCTCCATAGCCAGGGCCCTGGGTGAGGCCTCTCAGTGTCGTGTAACTGAAAATGTAACTGCTGCCTCCCCACCCCACCCGTTTCTGCACCCTCCAGCCACCCGCGTGCTGCTACCACAGTCTCTCAGTTTCTCACTCCATCCCCTTCTCACTCCTTCCCATTTTCTTTCGACAGACACAATGTGCATCACCAATGTAAAACAATTTTTTCTTTAAAAAGAATCTCTGGACCAAGAGTTGCATCGTATGTGTATTAACTAATCCCCCACTGCGGTGGGAGACCCTAGGGAGTTGTCCATATATAGGTCATGAACACCTTGGAGCAGAAGTACAGGGTCAAAGATGTGAACGATCTTTCTAAAACATGGGTGTGACCCTCTCCTCTCCCTGGAATTCCACAGTCTCTTGGGATAATAGCCTGAGCGGGGTGCAGAGCAGACCTCACCCTGGCCTGGTCTGAGCTCAGCCAGCCTCCAGCCTCATTTTTAGTCCCTCCCCTGGCACCCCAAGTTCCAGGCACCCTGAAGGGCTTCTAGCCAAGCATGGCCTCACCTCTGGCCTTGTTCTCCTGGCGCCCTCCCCTCACTTCTTCATCAGCGCCGTCTGGCCTATCTTTCTGTCCATGGCAGGCCTCACCTCTTTTGGACAGGCTCCCTGATGCCCTCCCCCAATCCTTCTTTTGGCCACAGAATGGTTTATACCCAGTCATCACTGTCTGTTTCCCCTCCATCCCACTTCCTGTGTGTCCCCTGCTCAGGCACAGAAGAGGCAGTGGAGAATGTTGTCTGAATGAATGAATACTTGTTAAAGCACGGCTCTAAGGAGGGGAAAGAACTCCAGGGGTTCTGAAGTCCTGGGTTCAAGTCATGGCTGGGCCATAGATGCTGTAGGCCTCTTCTGGGTCTCAGTGTCCCCACCTCTAAAATGGGAATGATCACTAGCCCTGCTGTGCTCATGTCACAGGGCTCTTGCAGGGATCAGCTGAGCTGTGTGATGGTCCGCTGGGCGGTGCTGAGGCTTGAGCTGGCAGAGCTGGATGGAGAGTCCACTCCGGCTGGGACTGGCTATGGCTCGGCTCAGGACCACTGGCACAGGCAGACCAGGCATGTGGGAGATGGGGGGCAGGGAGGCTACCTGGACAAAGTACCCTTGAGTTGAGCTTTGGAGCATGGAAAGGATTTGGACAAGCTGGACAAGGTGGGGAAGGCACTCCAGGTGGGAGAACAGGATGAATATAAGCTTAGAGGAGGAACTGTAGCCTTAACTGGCATAACATCGGAGCTTCTATTATAAAAGCCCAGCCTGCCCTGTCTTCTGCTGCCAGAGTCGTGAGGGCCCATCTCTCCTGGGCTAGGTCCCCTTCCTCCCTCCCACCCCTCATAACCCTAACTTGAGCTGGGACTCTTCCCTGAAGACCTATCCCTGTGAACTCTCAGGGGCCAAGCAGTGACCGGACATTTGTTCTCAGTGGAGTAAAGGGAAGAGTTCCTGCAGACCTATGGCTGTAGCTCCCTGGGCAGCTGAGTAGACGGAGGGGGGCAGGGTTTTTGTTTGGTGTCTTCAGGGTGGGAACAGACACAGAGCTGCGGGCTCTGAAGGGATGCCTTTGGGACATGGGGTACTGGGTGGAGCTGTTGCACAAAACGGGGTAAGCTGTGGCCTATAGGCTTCCTGCATCTTATCTCATTTGCTCCTCTCACTGCCCCTTTCCAAGAGGCAGTATCCCCATCTTACGGATGCAGAAACTGAGGTTCCAACAGGAGACTGAACTTGCCTAAGGGTCCAAAGCAAGACGAGAATTTGCATCTGACTACTAAACCTTTTCCTCTGCCACGCTGCCAGGCTACT